GAAGAGCAAGATAATCATCCCCCCCAAAATGAGACTAAAGTGGAACAAAGCCAGGTGGGAACCTAACATAGAGAGGTGGTCCACCCATCTCTCCTACGGAGTTCCCGACCTCCTGAAAGCACAGCCTTCTGTTAAGGAAAAGACAAAAAAAGTTACCCATCTCGACCTGCAGATCAAGGATCTCAAGGGGAAAATAGAAGATGTAATGCAGGCTATGAAAGGGAAAGGTCTACCGCCGTAGATGACCTGGTATAAAGGACCAACTTGCCATTCAGCCCCGCCGTTATGAAATGTCCACTACCTAGCAAGTTCAGAATGCCCTCATTCGAAAGTTTCGATGGGACCAAAGATCCTCTCGATCACCTGGAAACTTTTCAAGCTCTTATGCATTTACACGCTGTGCCAGACGAAATCATGTGCCGAGCTTTTCCCACTACACTTAAGGGATCAGCAAGAGTTTGGTTCAACAAGCTGAAGCCAGGTACCATCAACACCTTCGAAGAACTGAGTGAGTAGTTTATGAGCCACTTCATTGCAGGTCAAAGGCATAGGAGGCCGGCTACATACCTGTTTACTGTGGAGTAACAAAAGGAAGAGTTGATTCAGGAATACATCACTCGATTCAACGCAGAGATGTTGCAGGTAGAAGAGGTGGACGACAAGGTAGCTTTGACCGCTTTCATAGGAGGACTCCAAATCTCCAGATTCTTGTTCTCCTTATTAAAAGAACCTCCCACCAGCATGATAGAGTTGTTGGTCAGAGCACAAAAACACATCAACGCTGAAGACACCATGAGTGCACGGAAAGAAGGAGAGGACAAGAAGAGGCCAGCCCCTCTTGCCAGGGATGAAAATAATACCAAATATAAGAAATCGTTTTTCAGCTAGAGCGATAGCACATATCATGAGAAGGACTCAGATGAGTATACCGACTGAAAATTGTCTCACGGCTTGAATTAGCCTTATCAAGTCATTCACAATAAAGACTGGGGGCATCTTAGTTAATCATTTTAAATAGAGGGTAGCTCCCTCACGTGTTATCTTGTTTTTAATAAGCATTGAGGCAATGATGGTTTTTAATAAAATTCCTGTCAGTTGCCTTGACTCTTGGTCAATTATCTTTATATGTACAGTATCCCCGTATTATAAGGGATAGTAAATGAGTGTCCTGTACTACAAAGACCCGGGCTAAGTGAATCCTGTAATTCGCATCCCCGTACTATAAGGGATAGTAATGAGTGTCCTATATTACAAAGACCCGGGCTAAGTGAATATCGTAAACCGTATCCCGGTACTATAAGGGATAGTAAATAAATGTCATGTATTACAAGAACCCAGGTTGAGTGAATCCCATAATTCGTATCCTCGTACTATAAGGGATAATAAATGTGTGTCCTGTATTACAAGGATACAGGCTGAGTGAATCCTGCAATCCGTATCCTGGCACTATAAGGGATAGTAAATGAGTATCTTGTATTACAAAGACCCGGGCTGAATGAATCCTATAATCCATATCCCCGGACTATAGGGGATAGTAACTGAGTATCCTGTATTATAAGAACCCAGGCTGAATGAATCATGTAATCCATATCCCCCGACTATAGGGGATAAGTATCGTGTATTATCATGACCCCGGCTGAATGAATCCCGTAATCTATATTCCCGTAATATAAGGGATAATAAATGAGTGTCCTGTACTACAAGGACCCGGGCTGAATGAATCCCGTAATTAATATCCCCTTACAATAAGAGATAGTAAATAAAAATCCCTTATTAAAGGGGTGAGCTGAGTAAAGTTCGTAAAGTTCGATTCCCTTATTAAAGGAGTGACGACCTAAGTTTGTACAATTTATTCCCTTACCAAGGGAAGATTATCTAAGGTTACTAAAAATAGTACCCATAGGCAGAGCACTCCAGGGGAAGATTACCCAAGGATACTAAAAATAGTACCTAGGGGCAGAATACCTAAGGGTACTAAAAATAGTACCCAAGGGAAGATTACCCAAAGGTACTAAAAATAGTAACTAGGGGCAGAGCACCCTAAGGGAAGATTACCCAAGGGTACTAAAAATATTACCCAGGGACAGAGTACCCAAGGGTACCAAAAATAGTACGCAGGGGCAGAGTACCCAAGGGTATTATGAATAGTACTTAGGGCAGAATACCCAAGGGTACCAAAAATAGAACCCAAGGAAATAGTACCCAGGGAAAAAAAAAAAAAAAAATGTTACTATTCATATGAACAGTACCTGTGGGTACTATTCCCAGGGCAGGGAAAAAAAAAAAACTGTTACTGTTCATATGAACAGTACCCGCGGTTACTATTCCCAGGGTAAGGAAAAAAAAAAAAAATCTTACATTCCCAAAGCTGGACGAGCAAGCTTGGGAATGAGGGACAACTAATAGGGAAAAATAAACCTATCTTGACCTAACGATGAAGGCAACCAAGTGTTAACCAGCCGCCAGATCTTTTCGGTGATCAACGATCATATTTTGTTATTAGGGATAAGATTTCTATTGGATAAGTTCTATGGGATGAGGATGATGAAATTCCTTTATCGAGAATAAGGGAAGCGACAATAAATAGGACGACGACTCGGGAATAAGGTACGACGCAAAAACTATTATTAAATTCCTGCCTTCTTTTAGACCTCTGGTGATTAACTTGACCGTCGGAGAGCTCTTGGCAGGCACCACACCGATGCCGTCAAGGTTCTTCGATCTTCTCCTCTCTTCCTTGCAGGAAAACGGTGTCGTATCGGACCACGTGAATTTCACTCTCAACAATGGTTATTTAATGAAATATAATCTAGACATTGGAGCATTTTACAACAAAATATGATAATTTAGGAAATATTATGCACAAAATATAGTTCAGAGGTTGGTTACAAATTCAAACATAATTTAGGAGTATTTTTTGCACTTTATCCAATTTTTAATTTGCCCTTTAGGCTCCGTTTGTTTCGACGTAAAATATTTTTTTTGAAATTTTTTTTTCATTCTCAAGTAAAAATATATATATTTTTATTTTTACTTTGTCAGTGTTTGACAAAGGTCTACGTTAAAGTAGGGGTTGAGTTTATTGGGCGGGGTATGTAAAATAACTTACCGAAAATTAATGAATAAATTATTTTGTTAAATTTTAATATATATATTTTTAGAACAATTAAATACCAAAAAATAAAAAAAATATTTAAAAAAAAATATTTAACGTCTAAATAAATGGAGCCTTAATGTCAAAAATGATACAAACTTATCTTGGTTGGACCACATTTCACTTAAGTAACTTGTAAAAATATTTTTCGTCAAAACATCATAGCGTGAAAAGTGATTGTAGGTGCAAAATTTCACCCAACCAATAATGATTAAGAGAAATAAAACAACTCACTCAACAAACAATGAAAATAAACAAGAACAGAATATAGAGAGGCGTAGAATTGCTTAATCCCTTTATTGGAGGTCTGGGCCTCTATTTAAATACAAAAGTTAGAAGAATTATGGTAGGACTCGTGTTGCTTGTACTATAATTCTTTCCATATATCAATTTCTTTACGAATAGAATTATTTCCTCTCTATAATTCTTCTCTTTCCGGATTTTCCTTACACAGAACTTACTTCCTTTGATGAATCATTTTCCTTGTAGGACCGGCTCCTTCTTTAAATGAATTTGGGCAGCATCTAACTTGGTACACATGACTGCTGGTGTCTTGATTCGAGCTTTAATAAAACCCGTAGTTAGATAATAATAGTTTTGGACTGATGACCAACTTAACTTGAGCTTTTGACAAGATGAGTTTTGACCTTTATTGAAGATAAAATTATATTTATGATGACGTATATTGTTCTTATTGAAGGGAGATTTTTCCCTCCACAGTGATACAAACTTATTTTGGTTGCACCACATTTCATTCAAGTAATTTGTAATTCACTGGACCGTTTATAATTGGTAGGTAGTAATTTAGTGGTGGTATTCTACATGGGACAGGGAGCACGCGGCTAAAAAGCAAAGGAAGAGTCGGCAGAAAAAATGAAAACAAAATCTCCATATGATCCAAACAAGGCCTCGATTCATAAGAAACAGCAAATCTCTGACTACAATAACGTCACCACATCAATCCCGCAGACCACACACAAGGGTGAGCTGTTGGTGGCCCTCGCCTTAAATTTTGCGCCCCATGCCTCTCTAGCGTGTCCTAATAGGTGATGAATGGAATACACTTCAATCTTAATATAAAATATAATATTATTTTTATTCAACTAATAACAAGTCTAAAGAATATTTACATCATTTACTTTTAAAAAAATAAAAAATGTATACTTATAAGAAAAACTGTGAATGCATTTATCATTATTTTTTTTTAAAAAATTATTGCAACAAGCATAAACATCTCAAAACTAGATTACAAATTCTTTATATTTTAACCACCGTTGTATTCTATTAAAAACAAGAAGATATTGGTGGATATTGTGGGCTGGATATATCATGTCACTTAATATTTATTTGTGTCTTTTGTGAATTATTGGATAGAATGTAACACTTATGATGTATTGCACTAAATCCTAATACCGACTAATTCCGTGCAAAACGAGTATTACACACGAATCAGATAAAATTTGAAGTATATTTACGATCGTAGCCCCAAAAAAATTAATTGTACTAAAAAAAATTAACCTGAAACTCTTGGTAACACACCATGGGCTATTCATGTTGTGCTAAAATAAAATAATATTGTCAAGAGAACTCTCCATAAACACTATTTGATATTTGAGATATAAATCTCACAAGTCACAAAAATTTTAGAATTAAAATTCATTAACCTCTATTGAGATTAACCTAAACTTATAAATACTACACTGACCTCGCTTTTCGCGGTTATGAAGGTCACCAACCGTTAAGCAATATTGTAAAAGGTCTATTACATCCTTATCTGATTTAAGGACATTTTAATTAAAAAAAAAATCATTTCAACGTTCAAACCAAACATACTGTTATTTATCTGATTTAATTAATAATATTTTATTCTCCCACTGCGATTCTCTTGTGTCCACCGCCTCCCATCGCCGCCACCATCTCCAACCGCCGCTCACTAACCACACCTCTCTCTCGGTCCTTCCACCGTCGCCACTTCCTCCCACCCCGATGGCCGCCACTTCTTCCCACCTTTTCCCACCACGGCAACCCCAGCTCTTTCTTCTCTCCTCTCTCTTTCTCTCTCCTCAATCACTACGAGCCAAACCCTAGACATGCGGAATTTCAGATCTCAAATATTCCAAATCCATAACCGGAAGAATTTTACAGTAAATTGGTCTCTCTGATCTTCAAATCTCCATTTTATACCGTAATAAAAAGAGAACTATTATTACTAGTCTAATGCATACATATATACTAGACTCAAATGTGATAGTAGGTTGAGATTTCTTTTTGCAATTTACTCAGTCATGACAGATTTGTTTATTTATTTTACAGGAGATTTTGATACTTCATATAGCATGCGAGATTTGAATTTGTGACGTCTTTCATGACACACAGTGACTGTAAAATTGATGGTGAGAAATCATCGGTTCATTGGGGTTTCTTTTAGTAAATTATGAGTAATATATATATATATATATACAAGGGGAAATGTAGAGGAGTTCAGGGGGTGATGCAAGGGTGGATCTAGCTGTATGTTTTGGTGGTCTCAAACTCACAATTTATTTAATTTCTGGATCTGCCTTGTGGTGATGGGAGAGGCAGTTAGAGAAAAAGAGGTGAGAGAGAATGAACTGAGAACTGAGAGAGGAATGGTGGCGGAGGGAGGCGGCGATGTAGTAGACAGGAATGCTGGAATGGTGGAGGAGAGAGGTGGCGGTGGCCGTGGCGGGCTGCAGTGGAAGAGCTTGTGCTTTGAACAGACAAGTCATTTTGGGTTTTTGGGTAATCTTGTAATTGATATAATTATGTAAGGTTATTAATGTCTTTTTACAACATAGCAAGGGTGATGCAAGGGTGGATCTAGCTGTATGTTTTGGTGGTCTCAAACTCACAATTTATTTAATTTCTGGATCTGCCTTGTGGTGATGGGAGAGGCAGTTAGAGAAAAAGAGGTGAGAGAGAATGAACTGAGAACTGAGAGAGGAATGGTGGCGGAGGGAGGCGGCGATGTAGTAGACAGGAATGCTGGAATGGTGGAGGAGAGAGGTGGCGGTGGCCGTGGCGGGCTGCAGTGGAAGAGCTTGTGCTTTGAACAGACAAGTCATTTTGGGTTTTTGGGTAATCTTGTAATTGATATAATTATGTAAGGTTATTAATGTCTTTTTACAACATAAGGCAGGGCTTATCTGAGTAACGGAGCTGACGGCCAATAACGGAGGGAGGAGGGTAGTTGTGTATTCGTCAAGTATAACACCTGCAATTATGTCAAATTTTAGTAAAATTATTAGGTGTCCGATATCATTGGCGGAGACATTGATCCGGATGATGTAATAATTTATTAAAATTTTAAAAAAAGTGAGTGTATTTTATTCAATTTTTAATAAATTATTTAATTTAAAAGTCAATAAAAAGATTTAACGACTCTTTTCTTGTCGTGATAGCGTTATCTTTGCAGTATTATTGCGTCACAAACAAATAATACAACTCACTCACAAATGGCATGACATGTGAGATATTAATAGTGTGTGCGTCTTTATTGTGTTTTTTTAACTCTCCATCAGCTGAACTTTGTCGAGCTTTAAAAATCAGTACAGTGCAACAATACTCATCACAGCCTCGAGAGCGGAAGAGAAGAAAAAGAGCATTGGAGGCTAGCAATGAAGCTCTGTTCTGTAGCGAGTCTAGCGACTCTGCTATTCAGCCTATTATTGTTGTCTCTCTTCTTCGCATTCTCATCCGCAGCTTATAATGTTACCTACGACCGTCGCTCTCTCATCATCGACGGCCAGCGAAAGCTTCTCATCTCCGCTTCCATTCATTACCCTCGAAGCGTTCCAGCGGTAAGACTTTCTTACTTGCCAATTTTCTGTTTGGCTTCCCAGAAAATTTTGGAAATTTTCATACACAAATAAACTCTCTCTCTCTCTCTCTCAAATTTATTTATTTTATTTTTTTCTTCTTACCTCTGTTTTCTCAGCAGTCAGTTCTCAGTATCTGGGTTTCAAATTAATAAATTTCTAACAACATTTAGCATTACCCATTCTTCATTTGATTCATTGTTAGCACTGCAATGTGCATTTCACACATCACTGAATTATCATTATTTATTTACTTTATGTGTGTAGATATATATATATTTAGTATTTACTTTTACTTCTTTGTTGTTTGATCTTTTATCTGTGTAGCTGATATATCTGATTTTTTTAATTATTTTTATATTTTTATTTTTCATGTTTGTGTGTTTTAAATGATTATTTTCTTGGTATGGATATGGAATGTGGTAGATGTGGCCGGGCTTGGTTCAAACAGCGAAAGAAGGAGGTATCGATGTGATTGAGACCTATGTCTTTTGGAATGGTCATGAACTTTCTCCAGGAAAGGTGAGTGAAATTGAAAGTACTTTCTACTGTTTACATTGCTTTGCATATATTTTGTGTAGATTAAATTAATTTTTTTGTGTAAATTGTTTTAGTTTTATTTTGGGGGACGGTACGATTTGGTCAAGTTTGTGAAGATTGTTCAGAAGGCCGGCATGTATCTAATTCTTCGAATTGGTCCATTCGTGGCAGGCGAATGGAACTTCGGGTATGTTAATATTGTTCCATAGGATGCTTAACTGACATATTTAGTACCATTGAATATCTTTGAGTCCCTTTGAATTTTTAACTGCTGCTTGAAAAAGCTCCTTATAAGCAATTGTATGGTACAGTGGGGTACCTGTTTGGTTGCATTATGTGCCTGGGACCGTATTCCGAACTAATAACGAACCCTTCAAGGTATGAAAATGATAATGTATTTCAAGAAACTGGTGCCATTCTGTTTGAGCTAGATTATGTTATTCCAATCTAATTAATTTGGTTATTTGGAAGTCCAGAATTACATGCAAAAGTTCATGACATTCATAGTGAACCTGATGAAGCAAGAGAAGCTCTTTGCATCTCAAGGAGGTCCCATCATCATGGCACAGGCAAGTAAATTTCTTAATATGAAAAATATTTTTCTGGTGCCTATTCTTTTTCTTGTCCGATATAGTATATACTCAATAAATATCTTATTTTTCTAAAAAAATCTGTAATCTTTTCTTTTGAGGCCTATACTTAGTTAAATTATATAGAAGATTCTGGCCCCTGAGCTTTGAAACTTTGGATATCAGAATAAATTAAGGCCATGTTAGGTAATAAGTAAATGTAAAAATTTGGGATGCTGCTTCTGGGAATAGTCGGGCTTTGCACATCTGATATATATCATTAACATTTTGATCAAAATCGTATGAGACCTTTTCAAGAAGATTTCTTACCTTCCACCCTCAACTGCTTCTGTACTTCTTCTCTCTTTTGTTTATCTTTCCTCTTTTCTATCCCTCAAAATGTTGCATCATTTTTTCACTCTCTTCTGTGCTCACTCATGGACATTCTGTTTCTTATTAACCAACTGCTCTTTAAAACGTGTATTCCGGCCATTGATAAGAAACATCTTCCTTTGTGCCTATCTTTTTCTATTGGGGCACGAAAAGTCCACCTTATATCATCACTGATGTCACCCCAGTCCGACTCCCACTTCCGCGCCTATCAGAAGGTCCAACACTACCAATATCATCCTCTCCAACGTCTCCAAATCATGACATTTTTGAGTTTCTCGTTAAAAAACACATATCTTTTATCAAATTTTTGTCACACTCAACATATATAATGTGTATTGCAAAAAGTTACCATTTAAAAGTGAGAATTAAAAAACATAAAATAAAAAAATCAAATATTTAGAATAAATTTGAAAAAAATATAATACAAGTTGAAGTACCAAGAAAATTATGAATCAAAATATATTTAACATGTATATCTCAAAAGAGTTACCATTTGTTAGTGAAAATTGAAATTTATGAACCACAACACGTATGACTTCTATATCACAATAAAGTGCCCATTTACAAGTGAAAATTAAAAAACAGAAAATGAAAATTTTGAAAAGTAACGCCTTGAGGGTAGGCACCAAGGTCGAAGATTTGACTCTTCGCCTTGAGGGTAGGCACCAAGGTCGAAGATTTGACTCTTGGCAGGCGCTCAAAGAGGACAATATTGCCTGGGGTGGGAGGGCCAGTGTGGGGCCACGGTTTGGCTGTGCATCTCTGAGACAACGTGTTTTAAAGCTGTGATGGCCGTGAACCCATCAGAACTTTGCAGTTAAGGGTGCTTATGCTAGAGTAATACCAGGATGGGTGACCTCCTGGGAAGTTTGGTTCGGGGGAACCAAAAACGGATAATATTGTGTCAGGTAGGGTGAGGGCTGTTACAACATCCATAATCTCATATATGACAGATCTAGCAACATCTTCTGCATCCTGGTGCATTCTTGCATTTCTTTCTTTCCATACAGCCCAAATAGCAGTAGCAAATACTTTAGAAGAGTTTAATTTCTCTTCACTCCATTGTAATAGATCCGAAAAGGACGAGCAGTTCCAATTCCAACTGAACACCGAAGCAAACCACCCCCACACATCTCTAGCAAATTTGCAATAAAAAAACATATGGTCTCTAGAATCGTTCCCTTGCATAGAGATACAGTTGTAACATATAGAAATCAAACAAATCCCTCTTTTCTGCAAAATACAAAAAGAGGGATGTTTGTTATGGAGAATGACAGATGCAGTCATGCGGGCAGTTGGTCTATCTTTGCTCCAGCGCAGTCCACTCCAATAAGGTTTAGTGTGATGGACCGTACAAAAATCGCAAGCTCTCTTAAAAGTAAACTTACCATTTGACCAAAAATTCTGTCAGAACCTGAGTGAAGGTTGATAGCAGCAACATAATGCTTAAACTGATGAAGACCATGCTCAGTGAGATTATCCAAACACCATCTGTTATTAGCAATTAAAACATTCAAAACAGAGTGTCTGGGGAATGGCAGCATTCTAATAACACTATGACCAAACTTCCACATAATGGTGAGTGGTAAAGACTAATTTTTGAACAATCAGCAATATGGAAGTTAACACCTTGCAGCATGTAGTTTCTAACTGACAACACATATTTCCATGTAGCAGAATTGGATGAATTCTGAATAGCCTCCTAGTATGAAATACCTTTGGTATTATCTCTAAACCACTGACCCATTGACATTCCTTATCATTAATGAAATCCCAAGCCAAAGAACAGGCTGCAACATTTTTCATATCCACAAGCTTCCTAATTCCAAAGCCTCCCTCAGCCTTAGGTCTAATCACATTTGAAACCGTAGTAGGAAACTTCATACCAGAGCACCAATAAAGGACTGTAGGAATAATCACAGTTCTAACCAATTCTGTCCTTCCAGCCGTAGAGAGATTCAAATTGCACCAGTTTGAAAGCCTAGCATTGATTCTGTCCAATAACTCTAAACAAGAGGCCAAAGACAAACCAGAAATATTAAGAGGCGTCCCTAAATACTTAACAGGCAGTTTACTCTCTTTGAATTACAAGATTCTAACCAAATTTTGACTTCTCCTAACTGACTTAGAGGGACTAGCATGCAAACCAGAAACACCTGCAAATTCATCAAGAACTCTTCTAAAGGCAAAAACAGTCCTCAAATCAGTCTTGGACACAATAAGTAAATCATTGGCATATAAAAGATGGCAAATATTCAAACTAGACCTCTTAACTGCAGCAGTGGGACATAAAGAACCAGTACCAACTTCATACTTTATAAGGGAGGAAAAATACTCAGCAACCAAAGTAAACAACATTGGTGACAGAAAGCATCCCTGTCTCAGCCCTCTCCCAGGTTGGGAAAAAACTTCTGGAGATCCATTGATCAGAATAGAGAACCAAGATGTAGTCGTACAATCCTTTATCCGTCTAATCCAGCCCTTACCAAAACCAAATTTGTGCAGCATCTTGAACATAAAACTCCAAGAAACAGAATCATAAGCTTTATTTAAATCAATCGTTATATCCATGGATTGATTAGAAGCATTGTTGAAACACCTAACGAATTCATTAGCCATTAAGATATTATCATGGATTCTTCTTCCCTTTATAAAAGCTGATTGTTCCCAACCAACTAAATCATTAAGAACAAGAGCAAGTCTATCGGCCATTATCTTAGTGATAATCTTGTAAGAAGTATTACAAAGAGAAATAGGCCTAAAGTCAGAAATTTTGATGGCTCTTTATTTCTTAGGAATCAAAGTAATGAAAGAAGAGTTTACACCCTTTAGACAGCTTAGGATTATTGAAAAAGTACTTTACAGCATCACAAACATCCTTACCAATTATTCCCCAAAACCCTTGATAAAATCTGTCTGGAAAACAATCTGGACCAGGAGCTTGATCAGGTTTAGACTCCATCACTACCTTCTTGATATCCTCATCAGTTACAGGAGCCTCAAGCATCTGAGCTTTCCCCACATCTAAAGTTCTCCTAGGAGTTTTAAGATCAGAAACCTGCACATCATGAGAAGCCAAGAAATTTGCAAAATGATCAACAAACCAAGCCAATGAGTCCTAGCCTTTTGAGGTGTTGGCTACACCTATTTTCAGATGAAATAACCTCAAGATTAAAAGGATTCTGCAGAAGAATAGTCTGAGCCACATTCAACTCATCCTTAGCAGCTTTCACTGCAGAGCAAACATTACCAAACCTATTTTTGAACAGAGACTGAATAGGATCCCCTTACTGTGTCACTTGCCAAGCATTAGACACAACATCCTCAATACCCTCTTGAATGCACCAAACCTTTAGCAATCTAAAAGGCTTGGGGCCTGAAGAAATACCTTGAAACACATCAACAACAATAGCACCATGGTCTGAGAGGCCTGCATTAAATAATGAGGCTTTAGGGGCAGTAAAAATTTGTAGCCAAGCATTGGTAGCTATTGAAAGAGAGAGAGAAAAAGAGAATATATGAAAACGTATATGTTATTGAGTGAGTAATACAATAATACAATGGTGTTTATATAGGAGAAGCTGTGGGAGTAGGTGAGTGGAGAATAAGTAAACCCCATACATGGTAATTCTATATATGGTAATGAGGGGTAGGTGACAACTCATACAATAGTAACTGTACACGCGTTACAACTCATACAATACTAAATATACACGTGTGACAACTCATACAATACTGTACAACACTCCCCCTCAAGCTGGAGAGTAATTGTCAATAATTCCCACCTTGCTACATATGAAATCAATAGAGTTCTTGGGAAGCGCCTTAGTGAAGATGTCTGCCAGCTGTCTACTAGAAGGAACAAAAGGTGTAACAATCTCATTCGAGTCATTTTAGATTGAATGAAATGGCAATCTACTTCAATGTATTTAGTCCTCTCATGGTAGACTAGATTGCTAGCAATATGAGTAACTGCCTGATTGTCACAATAGAGAGGAATTGGGTACTGGACTGAAATCCCAAGTTTGTGTAAAAGAGTTTTCAACCATAAGTTCACAGGTAGTGTGCCATGGCACGATACTTTGCTCTAGAACGAGCCACAATTGATTGTTTCTTACTTCTCTAAGTTACTAGATTTCTTCCTATGAAGGTGTAGTAACCCGTGGTGGACCGTCGATCAGAAGGAGAACCGGTCCAATCTACGTCTCTGTATCCCTCAATCCGAAGATGTCCAGAAGATCAATAAAGCAGACCACGTCCCGGAGCACCCTTGAGATACTTCAAGATGCGCACAACTGCCTCTATGTGAGGTACCTGAGGACTGGTCACGAACTGGCTCACAACACTGACTGCATAGGAGATGTCAGTGATTGTGAGGTAAATAAGTTTACCTACAAGTCTTCGATACATCTCTGGATTAGGGTCACCATCATCCACCTTAAGTTTTACGTTAGTCTCCACGGGTGTAGCTACAGGTTTCGAACCAAGATATCCAGTATCCTGTAAGAGATCAAGAGTATACTTCCGCTGAGAAAGGCTAATGTCTTGCTTCGACTGAGCCACCTCAATTCCTAGAAAAAACCGAAGTTTGCGGAAATCCTTAGTAA